GTTTCAGTGCAGCTCGGGCTGACAAAGCGAAAAACACAATGGATCTCCAAATGTGAAACGTGGATGTAAACAAAGGCATTTAAAATAATTTATTTTTGCACTTATATTTTCCTTTTGAAAACAGAAATGAAAAGCACTTAAACATGTTTGTGAGACCTCGTGATTTAAACAGGTGTTGTTAAGGGTTTGAGAAACCAAGGGAGGAGTAAAAAACATAACTGTTAACAAGAAAACTCCCACAGGACACCTTTTCATATCTATTACTTCAAAAATGGAAAATGACTGCATATTGCCTGCTTTCTTTTTTTTGTTATCAGCCCAATGACCTAGAACTTACTGGATGCCGGATGATATTACATGTTTGATTGCAAACATCTGCCTGCCACCTTTATATAAAGTCTGGGCACAACTGAAGCGTTGTTGCATTTCTTCAACCAGGTGTGCCGTACATAATGCGTCCCTGGCTAAAATTAAGCTGTTAGCACTTTTTCAAACTATTATCCTTTCGCATTTAGTCTTATTCCCCCCCTGTCTGTGTGTGCCCCTCCAGCAGGCACTCCTCTCCCCCCCGGCACCCCCAACCATTCCTTTGAGCCAGCTGCAGCAGCATCCCTGGCCCTCAGCAGCAAATGGTCAGGCCTGGCCGCCGCGCCCGCAGCCACAGCAGGGACAGGCAGGCTGTCTTCCGCTTCCCTGCTGCTGTCTCCCTCACAGGTGACCTGCTCTGCATGCTGCCACGACTGCCTGCTCATACAATCATAATCACATCATCATAAAGCTGCTCATGCTACTCTTCTGCTGTGACTAATAATGATGCACCTCATGGCTTGGATCACTAATGCTACTTGTGCACTGACCTTCTTCTCCCTCAGCTAATATTACTGCAAATGCTTCTACTGCCAGTGCTGCCATATGCCACCACTGCTGCACTCCCCCATACTCCTACGGCAACAACCGCTATTCCCTGTGTGGGCTGGTCTAAGCCTGTGTGACTTACTGTAGTGGCTGTTATGCCTCTGTGTTGTCTCCAGGAGCGGGGGTTCCCCAGCAGGCTCCAGGCTATCCAGGTCCACCCCAACACCCAGTCCACCTCCAACAGGAACAGCAGCCCAGAGATCTCCCAACCACCTCCCTCCAACTCCACCGGTAGGTCCAATCACCTCTCAGAAACAAAGACTCCTTCAGGATCGAATCAAACCTCTTAGACACAGGTTGCCAAGAAAAGTGTGTTGTGTGTGTGGTGTTTGTTGTGTGTTTGTGTGTGTGTGTGTGTGTGTGTGTGTGTGTGGTGTGTGTGTGTGTGTGTTGTGTGTGTGTGTGTGTGTGTGTTGTGTGTTGTGTGTGTGTGTGTGTGTGTGTGTGTGTAACAATCCCGAATTTTAGAGTTTAGCCTAAAAATGCAAATATACAGAATCTCAATGAGTGCGACACTTGTTGCATGTTGCTGTCTCACTTTGTGCCTGACATAAGTAGAAAAAACAACTTCAAAATTTCATTGTATTGTATTATTCCTGCTTACATTGGCTGTTCGTTCTGCTCCTGCTTGGAAGGATTTGTGTCTTCGAGGACTGTGTTATTGTGGCACAACACACTGCATAAGTAGGAGTTTGCAGTTAAATTTAGATGGATAATAAGCACCATCTGCTGGCCAACACGCATACACACCTCTTGTCCTCAGCGTGACATGTGTTTTCTCTCCCTTCTCCCGCTCTCCTTGCAGCAACGGTGAGTCTCCCAGCAACCATCGTCACCTCGTCGGTGCCAACGTCGGTGGCGGGTCACATGATGTACCCCAGCCCCCACACAGTGATGTATGCCTCCACGCCCGGCCTGACTGATGGGGGACTGGCTGTGCTCAACGCCTTCTCCCAGGGCACCTCGGCCATGCAGGTGTCCCACGCACAGGGCCAGGACACAGGTGAGCAACACAGGCTGAAGACAAACCGTGTACTTGGTGACAAATGTGGATTTATTTGTGATTTGTAAATCATTTCAAATAATGCTAGAGTTTGCTGATGGACAGACATGTTGTTGTCCCCCCCCCCCAACAAGGTGCTGTCCCTCAGGTGTTCCTCACAGCACCTCCAGGCACGGTGCAGATCCCCGTCTCAGCGGTGCAGCTACACCCAGTACGGCAAGATCTGCATTTTACAAGTGAAACTCTCATATTCCCTATGCAACCAGCATGTCACGTGACTGCACTAATGCATCCTAACAGAGCACTGGCACACAGGGGCCCCACAGGGTTCCCACAGGGTTCCCACAGGGTTGTCACCTGTCACCTCATTGTATGAATGTGAATGATAAGCTGGCAGTTTGTTTTTTACCTGTGATTTGCAGCAAAATACACATTCAGTAGAGTTAACAGAACACCACTGTAGCAGTGCATGGAAATCGAAAACTTAAATGTTTATGTACTTTATAAAGTCCAGTATTATGAAGATAATCATTTGTATAAATTGGTTTAAAATGTATAGATGTATAGGTATTTTGATTTACCAGAAAAATAATCCACCCATCCTAATAGTCTTACTTACACTCTACAGAATATTATTTCAGTGTTTAAATAATTTACAATAATTACAGAGCACATTACAGCTTTACCCGACCCCATGATAAACAGCATGTAGTGTAGCAGGGTTTCCATCTGTGCTGGGTGCTGTGTGATGTAATGACTTGTGATTGGCTGTCTGATGGGCCCCGTGCTGTCTCCTGACGTAGCTGTGTTGTGTTCCAGATGGTGATTGGACAGCAGTCGAGCGGCAGCAGCAGTAACCTGACAGAGCTACAGGTAGTCAACATGGACGTGCCACAGAACTCAAAGAACGACTGACGGACGGCTGGAGCTGGTTAACAGGGCAGACCCAGGGACACACACGCAGACAGACTGACTGACATCTCTATTTATTGATGCCTTCCTACAGAGTTTCACATTACACTTCTGAATGTGACTTTAAAGTACATATATACACACAATCAAGGGCATATGTGTGGCTGACCCTTATACAGTATACAGTATGTTTTGGTATATAAATATATATATATATATTCGCAAATGCATAGGAAATATATCACTACATCCATCATCGGAAGCTATTTTCTATGCCGTTAGATGGTGTTATTTTTTCTTGTGTGCGTGTGTTTTTTTTGTTTTGTTTTTTGAAAATGTGTAATTACATGTATACACACACACACACTGCAAGGTGACACAGCTTCACACCAGCCAAAGAGACATTTGTTTGTCTGAATGTTCCAGTGTGAGCAACTTGTGCACAAGTGTGTGCCTCTGTGTGTGCGTGCGCATATCTGGGGTTTGTAAATGGGTGGGGAGACGCTTATTGACTTAAAAAAAGAAACATTTGGAAATGTACATATTTTTTATTTTAATTGATAACTTGTATTTTTAGCCTGGTTTAGTTTGTGCAACGGCATGTAGTTGTTTTTTACGTAGTGGTTTTGTATGTACATGAAAATGATTTGCATAAAGAAGATTTACATGTATATGTAAATTAATTTAATATACCATCATATGTTGTCATGCTGTTGGAAGTTTTCACTACAAGATGGAGAAAGAACGCTGGATGTTTTTCTACATTTTCTGATTGTGACATCTGTAGGACTTCAAACAGGATCCAGTAGCCGGGTCACAAAACAGAAAGCATAAGATATTTATGATTTATAATCTTTAGGGAAGAATTCAGTGCAACAGTTAATGTTCTGATCATTTAGTATGACATCAGTTTTGCATGTGAACCTTCCTGAAGCCCTGAACTGGCACTTTCACAAGTGTAGAAATTGTTAAAACTATGACAATCTGATGGAAATTTCTATTTTCATTTATCTGGAATTTTAGTATAATGCTATATTTTCCTGTGTTCACACACGAATATGAGTTAAATGCTGATATTTTAAAAACTCAGTGACATTTAAGTTCACATTCATAAATAGCTGACTTAATCATAAGTATAGGTAACAAACCTGAGAGTGCCAAACAGGTTTTCATGACAGATAAATGAATTTTATGTTTATGTAATTTGTTGAAAAAGTGATCCATTGTAAACATGTCGCTCTGATTTGCCTCCACTAGACTGCAGGACGTTAATTATGTGATGCTACTACTGACTTTAGTCAGGACATTGGACACAAATCTCATTTAACAAGACACTGTATAGACTCTGCAATTCCACTTCAATACTGCAATCAAAGCTCTAGTGTCTCCTTGAATGGAAGCTCTTGATGTTACTCAGTGCAGTCTCAATGCTGTAGTGTTACAACAGTAATGAGTGTGACTATTTTTGTAAGAACAAGGATCTCTTAATTTGGAAAAGTGACTTCAGGTGCTTTAAAATGTTAATTAACTCCTTTAACTAGAACTGTAAGACCCTAGCTGACTGCAATCTCAGTATGTACCTCAGCAATCATTAAGAGTTATTAGACTGAGAGCCTTCTTTCTGCACCATAGTGCCTCTTTTCCATGGCTGATTTCTAAATCACTGCAAGGCAAGGTAAATGTAGGATTTACTTATTTCCTGACCACCTCACATGACTCTGGACCTTGTCATACAATCCTCTGCTGTGGCCAGAGAGTGAGATTTTTGACTCATTTCTACAAGATTAGCTGGATGACAGAGCATGGCTGGCTTAGAGCCAAAGAGAATCTGACAGAGGATAAAGTACCCATTCGGACTGCTGTTCAGTTATTCACTGGTAAGAGGTCATTCTCACGCTCAGCGTTCTCTGGTCTGTTCCTGTACATGATGTCATTTCATCCTGCAGGGCTCTTGGCATAGGAAAATTACAAGTTAATGACATTCAATCCCCCTGTATTATCGGATCTTTTTTCAAAAATGTTATTTTAAGAGGGGATTACTGAACAGAATTTGTGGTTTTCACCTTGTCATAGAAAGAAATGGTTATTTTGTGTATTTTTGTTTTGTTGTACAGACATTTTGTAATAAAAGCAAGATGAAACACAATGAACTGTGAAAAGAATGACTGAATTTCCTGCTGAAGAACGTTTTTTTTTAATTGGGACGGAGAATGTTGAACAAAACCATATTGTCCTGAATAAACACAACAGTGTTGAAATGAAGATGAGCTGATGAGGAATAAATGAGCCAATGCCTCTGAGAGAATAAGACTGCAGTGATCGCTTACTATTACTCTGTTAGGCATTGGGAGGCAGGAGGAGTGAGCATGCACCTTACCTTAATGTTTCAATTATGCATTGCACAATCACAAAATCAAACTGGCCATGAGATAAGAAGACGTGTAATGAGACTCGTCCCATGTCACGCCAGAGGAAAGCAGCGATGAACATAAAAGAAATGCAGCAATATCATACAGTGATTGGTCTAAGCTGACAAGGAAATAAATCAGTTGGCATCAGATTTATGACTATACGGAGAGTCCTGTACATCTTCACAAACCAAATGCAACACGATAGGAATAATAATTTCACAACAAACTGCGCTGAAGCAGAAACCCCTTACACATCAATTCCAAGAGTCCTCAGAGATCCACAGTGTGAAGTAAGGCATCATATCTCCCTGTCAGTGTCTTCAAAGAACAAAGTGCTGACAGCTAAGAAATCATCACAGATGGCTGGACTGCCTTTTTTCTTTCTTTCAACAGTGAAAAATAATGTAGAAGCATGCATTTACGCCAGGTAGTATATCTCTATTGCTATTGTACACATACAATATACAAATGTACAGAACAAGTTGGAAAGATAGTTGATTAAAAAATGTGCATGATCGATAATTTAAAAAAGGTTTCCCATTAAAATAGAAATGTTACTCCTGGTACATCCTACATTTTGTTTTGTTGGTTTATGAAACAAAACATTTTTGGAAAAAAGAAAAAAGCTTCTTGTTGTGTTATTTACATTATGAACAGGGATGAAGAAAGACAATGTGCAAATCTGATTCCATGCAAGCTGTTGCATAATGTAGTTCAGGTGCTTGAGTGATGGGTTTGAGGTGGGTGCAGAAGAAAGAGGGAAAGAAAACATGGCTTCAATGAATTAATCTGTCCATTCTCCACCGCAATAATAAATCATTACACTCACACATAAAGTCATCGGCAAACACGCTCACCAATCATGGAAACATTCACACTGGGAACATATTACAAGACTCAAACTTACAATAAGTAGCATCTTGATTTTAGACTGATTCAAATCTGAGGAAAGGAATCTCTGATCTGTGAGGTGAGACTTCACCCTGCCGAGATCTACAACCGAACGACCCGTTCCAACAATGCACAGCACCGCGAGTACGCCTCCTCGTCATTTAAAGACCAGGATGAAAAAGGTAATACTGCTTAGTAAACGTAACACCTCATAGGAAGTCATGCTACCCTGTGGAAACGTAGAGGTCTTAGGATACTGTACAGCCAGTGGTTTCTAACTGGGGGGTCTGGACCCCTGGAAAGGGTCTTGAGATAAATTGAATGGGTTTACTACACAACAGGCTTTTTTTCAGACTTGATCATCTCAAATAAAAACACCTGCTTGAGAAGTTAGAATCACATAATGCTTGAACTGTTAACAACTTACCAGCTTTGTTTTAGGAATCAAAAGCCAATAAAGGTCGGGAGGCGGCTACAGTATGTCCTGACTGAATGATGATTTTAAGACACTGATAAATTAAATCGAGAGGTATGTTCCTCTGCATCCCTCCCACCAACAGAATAAACTAATTATTGACTATTATAAATGGTGTAATAACAATAACATAATATCCTTTGGATAAAATAAACACTGGTGGGTGAGAAATGCAACACTGGATCTGGAGAACAACATTTCCGAACTAATGTGGAATCAAAAACAACATGTCTCTTCCCACAAATGCCAACTTGACATTTCCTAAAAGCCAACCAGAAAACAAAGCATGACTGAGCTTGAATAATGTAACGAGTGCAATGCAATGAGTTCTGTGTGCAAATTCACATCATTTGCAAAATTCACCATTTCATTTGACAAAACGTGACGGGTGGTGACATCTTTGGGTGATTACTGATGCGCTTTGAGAGCACAAGCACTTAAAGACAAACGAGGAAAACAAATTAAGTAAATAGCATCTGCTTAGACAGTCTTGGACTGTTTAAAATTAATTTTATCTTAATATGACATTAGTTAAAAAGGCAACCTGAAAGCAAATAAATAAGAGGACTTGGCATATAAAATATGAGTGTAGTATCGTAAATACTGCAGTTCAGTATGAATGTAACTACAGGAACATATAGGGGTTGAAGGTAGTGGGCATTTCTCTCTACAGGCTCTTGTCTTCAAACAGACAACACGTGACGAGTTGAGATAAAAATGTTTCAAAAGGAAACAATCTTCTGTAACTGAAAGGTGTGGTTCCACACTAAGGCAATGACGTTTACAAATGGGTGATGACGGGACAGGAAATAAATACACAAACATCTTTTCTCCTTGATATAATAATTACAGGGCTATCATCTTTTGGCTGGTGAGAAAGAAAGATGGTAGGGGGGAGTGAGAGAAAACGCAGAGGCTGAAAAGAGCCCAGTGACCATCTCTCAGCACCATAACCTCCATCCTCCCTCCTCTTCTTCCCCTGCTGGCTGGGCAGTGTCTGTGCTCTGACCTGCTCAAAAACAAGACCAAAGACTTTTTTATGGTGGAGCCCGAGAGGCTAGAAGAGGGGGAGTGATGAAACCCGTCTGCGCGGGTGTTTAACAGTCTCGCAGGGATGAGCAGTTAGTGGTAATGTTCCGCAGACCCTGTGCCACCGGTACCAGCACACCCCAAAGGCCCAGTCTAATCTTGACCTGTCTGCCCCGCCGAGGCAGATGGATGAACAGCAGGAAGATTACGGCGAGGAGGAGGACGCCGCGTGGTATTTGACGAAGGCGATGGCTGCCAGCTCTTTGCAAAACTCCTCTAGCACGATCACGCCCTCCAGAAGAGTCATGTGGTCAATGCTACAGGAAGAAAAGGAGAGAGAAAGTTGAGTGCAGTCCAAAAGTCAACTCAGACAATTAGAGCACAGAGCCACGTGGAAGCACGTACGTGACGCCCTCTGGTTCTAGACCCAATAGTCTCTTCCTCACGAGCAGCAGTTTGGGTGTGAAGTCTGGGATGCGCTGAATCCTCAACATGAGATCTCCCACCACCTAACACGTGTACAAGAACACAAAGCAATTACCGAACCACAAACAGCACTGCTTCCATGCAACATAAACAGGCAACACTAGTTCATCATACTACACTGGAGACATTACTCTTATCAGCATTAACAAACAAGACCATCAACAAGAAAATGAGCTGCTTCCACCCGCCTCAAACTGCCATTTACTCTGTGTGCTACTGGGACTGGAACAAAAAACAGGTCCGAAGGTGCAGTTGTTCAGTACGCAGGTCGAGTAGCAGCATGCTCATGAGATTCCCGGTAATAGCTAGTGAGTTTCACATAAACACTTGTTCTTTCAGTGACACTGGAATGAGATCACAGCCAACAATTGTCTCAAACAAGATATGTTGCACATAACATTTTAGAAGAATACCATATAAAACATTGCATTATACTAAACATAACAAAAAAACACCAATCAAAGGAAGCAAGAAATCTCCAAAGCACCCAAATAACAGTAATTGAAGCTTGGAGCTTGGCAGTGTCTGCTGTTAATGGCGGATAAGATAAGCACTATGATCTAGACAGGAGTCTTACCCTGACGATGACAGAGAACAGGGACCTGCAGCCAGGGGCCAGGTTGATGTAAGGGTCCAGCAGGTACTCGTGCAGGTGGGGGTGTGGTAACAAAGACAGTTTGGACAGCACGGCAGTCACCTGCAGGTTGACGTCGTAGGGCTGGAGGACAGAGAGGGCAGCACATATAAAACTACACAGGAAATAAACTGTAGACTAGAGTGAACTGGCAGCTTTCTGTTTTCCATGGAACACAAGTGTGTAGGAGAATAAATAACACAAAGTGTCACAGTAGTCAGAAGCTTTAATGACAAACTCATCAATTATTAACGCACTCCCCTTTTAGAATTAATTTCCTAAATGCTACAAGAAACCCATGAGCTGCCAAAAAGTGCATTTCACTTCTGAATCTCTATTAGTCATCTTCATAATTCCCATCTAACATCATCTGTCACATGAGTTTATGGCTCATTATTTTTGTTTTAATATTAAAAAAGAAAAAAAATAAGTATTAATAATAAGTTTGTGCATAAGCTCATTTGCATTTTCTCCCCATTTCTCTCCCCTTTCCATTAGTGGACCTCATTTCAACTAAATAACTTTTGGGTGTATGGGAGCATTAAATCTGAGTGGAAATCGATTTAAACTTATCTGCTCCTTTAATAAAACAAATAAGGGAAGATATGATGGCGCCTAGTTAGATTTTTGACTTATGAAAATGTTTGAAATATTGTGCAGATTTGCATGCAGAACTCTTTATTTATTGGAACTTGGTTGTACATGTAAAGCTAGATTTACCAGCTCAAAAATTTTTTTAAAAACACTGCAATGGAAACTTGCCATTTGAGACTATATTGTAATTCATTGGAGCTGTATATTTCCATCAACTAAAAGGCAGCTTAATTTAGATTTGAGTAGTAGTTACAATTTATTTACAACCAACGCTGCATTTGTGATCTCCAGTGGGGACTTTCACTCAGACCTGTGGACTACTCAGGCTTAAACAATGCAACAGATATTTCAGCGTTTAAGCATGTGGTTGTTCTGAATGACGCCAATATTACTACATAAGTTCAACTGTATGGCGGATCGAACTGACCTGATCTAGGATGCGACCCATCCTGTCGAAGAGAACCTTGAGGAAGTGGCCCTCGAAGAATGGGATGTCCAAGTTACACTTCTCAAAAGGCTTTGGATTTCCTCTCCAGTCCCACCGCTGGCAGACCCCACAATAGTCCCTGAACTGAGGAGAAGAATTCATCTCCACTTAGTATGTGTTCTACTAATGACACAGAAGACAACTGATGCACCACAGCAATTAGTTTAATGTTAACAGATCCAGGGAGAAACACTAAAGCAGAGCTTTAAACATACTGTAGAATAAGCATTACCTGTCTGTGTGCATCTCTGAGGTAGGTGTCATAGCCTGTGCCTTCGACGTGATACGATGACTTTGCCTCATCGGGCACCAAACACAGGAAACTGTAACAGAATTCAACAGTTACACTTTATATTTTAAAGACTCAAGACCTCCTCATACTGTACAGTATGTTGTATCATGACCAGACTGCGTACCTGTTGACAATCTTGTGGACCTCCGTCTTCCCGTCAGACTTTAAGTGGTCAGGACTTTGTTGTGGAGAGGAGCTGAGCCAATCAGAACCAGACAGCCTGCTGTCTGGAGAGACGTCGTCACCAAACAGTGGATCCTCCTCAAGGTCGCTGTAGAAAGAACACGTCCATTAGAAACTATTTATATTCATGAGAACATGATCTGATTCTGATGAGTGCTACAGAAATGGTAACAAAAGATCTCCCCTTTTATTTCGGTTTCACACGACAGATAACTCTGAGAAGAGAGAGCCACTGGTGTAAAAGTGTAGGCTATTTTAATTTCTATTCTCCATTCTGGTATGTAAAACTTAGTAGTTCACTTTATTAGTATTCTTGTGTGCAGTTAAAAGGAGGAAATGTGTGGTCGTTTATGGGATGATAGCATTTCAGGGCTCCTTTGTAGGGAGGTGATGAGTCTACTCACACCTGGAGCTTATATGTTGAAATAGAAACATTTACTGTCTCTGGAAGTATGTTCACAGTGTGTCTGTAGATGTACAAATATCACTGGAATTCTTTAGCTGTTCTGTGAACACACCTAACCTTCTACAAACAATACGATCATTTAATATTATGTAAACCAGTATTAGAGTGCTGCATTTTGGCTTACTTAATTCATTCCGGTGAGTCATCTAAAACAATAACATCAATAAACAGGCAAGCTGTTGCTCATTCTGTATAAATCTCCGTGCATGCATTTCCCACCAACTGAAACACACAATAAGATACGGTTTGGTTGAAATGGTAGCACGTCTAAGAAAACACAGCTATTTGATGCATTCACTTTATTTCTACTGGGGTGTGTTTGTGCAGACGATTTTCCGGGTAGGATTTTATGGCAGCTCTGGAAGGTCAAAGGTCAGAGGCAGGTCCTTACACAGCATCATGGGGCTGCCCGTTCTCCAGGGGCTCCCGCTCCTCCTGCGGTTTGTTCTCCAGGTAGTTCCTCTCTTCCAGGCCACGCAGCACCAAGCTGTGGAGGATGTGTTGGCTGGGCTTCTGGATGAGCTGCTCAAATAGCCGCAGTGTCATGATGCTGATCTGGGGACAGAAGGAGGAATGAGGCTTAGCTCCCGCTATAAACCCAGAGCCACATGCCAAGCATTTGCTCCCTGACAAAAAAAAAAAAAAAGCAGGCAGTGGCTGTTTCAAACATCAAAGAGATGATTCATCTCTCTTTTGTGTGATGAAAATGTGTGCAATGGCTCTGTCAGACACTAATTAAAATTCTTGTGCTTTTGGTTAATCATATGATTCACTGGAACTCAGAATCCTTGAAGGGCAGATGGCGATTTGTACTTTTCAATATAGAACAAGTAAAAAAGATGATATTATTCATTTTCATTCATTTTAGAACACCTATTAATGTGACCAAGAAAGGCTGTTGACAAAAAGGCCTGAATAAGTCTGATCAGGCAGACATGAATGACGTTAAAGACCCATTCATTAGCAGGACCAGGTACATGCTGAATAACAATTACGTGATAAGAACCTCGTCTGACAGGTGGTCGCAGTGCTCGATGAGTCTGTGTCTGAGTGGATTCTGAGCGACAGTAGCTGGAGTCTCTGGCTCTCTCTCCTCTCCCAACAGGAAGTAAACCATTTCCTGCAGCAGAGCCTCTGATGTAACCTGCCTGATGATCCTGTTCAGCAGGGCCGTGGAGGTCAGGATGCCCACCTCGGACCTATTTGTACCCACAACAAACTGCGTTACTGAGAAGTCACGACACGAAAAACACTAAGACAAGAGAAAGAATTAGAAGAAAAGGATGATTGATTGATGATTCAAAGCGAAACTTACGTCTGCATCAGCTGTGGCTCCATCACAGACACAAAGAACTGTTCTCTCACTGCTTTTGCCATCACTGCAGCTGCTGACTGGAAGACAGTGAAGAAAAACAAAAATGTAGTTCAGCCTTCTCTTCGACAAAAACAACTTCTTCTATTGTGTTGAATCTGACTACAATATGACACATCAAAACACAGTGAGTCAGCATTGGTTAAGGACCTTCTGAGCCTCCTTGATGAGCTGATCACAGAAATCTAGCCAGGACAGGAAGGAGATAAGAGCCCTCTTCCCTGTAAAGACAGCAGCATCTTCCTTCAGGTTATATACATCCAGACTGAAAGAGAGAGAGAGAGAAAAAAAGGTTAAAAAAATATTTAAAAGGTTTGCGACTCTTTTTAATGTATCCACTTAAAATAGCATTTCACAGAGGATGCTATTTAAGGGCTGACTGCAAAAAACTTTCAATGATGGCATTGAATTGTTTAAGTGGTGAAAGTCATTACACTTCTGATTTCTACAAATATCTGGTGTAATAAAGTAAACACTTGAAAGACATTCACCCCCAGTTGACTGACTCCACTGTCTCAATGTCCAAGGGGTCCATGGACTGTGGCAGGGCTTTATAGAAGGAGACCAGCCTGTCAGTCAGAAGCTCACAGAGCTCAGTGTTTTCTGTTAAACACTTGGCAGCTGCAGGCTCCGGTAAACTGACCAGCAGCATCAGACCCTCACATGCCTTCACCACTATCCTGCCGTCCTGGGAGGGGAGGAATGGATACAACTCATGAATACAATCTTTCAACTCTAATGAAGAAAACAAAAAAGAACGCAACTAGCCCTCGCATGAGGACCACTTACAGGGCTCTTTGTGAGGTTGAGCAGGGAGGTGACGAGATTGTAATTGTTGCTGTTATTGTTGTTAGTGGTTGGACTAGAGGTGGAAGCAGCAGCTGCAGCCAGGGGCTCCTCTGGGTGGTCACCCTGTCCCTTGGCCGGAGACTGACCAGTGTCTGGAGCCAATACATTCTCCTTCACCACCTCTGGCCCTCCAGGACTCGTTGTCTCAGGCCTCTTTGACTTGTTCTGCAGATAAAATCACATATATATTCTCTGAACTGTGTGCTTAGAAATCCTGTACGGCTCTTACATTTGCTAGTAATATATACAAATGAATATTTATGAATGTGCTGCCCCACTTTTTCCCTCCCTGATGTCCTGATTATATCAACTCACCTCAAGGAAGAAGTTGACAAGGTATGGGTCCTGCTTCAGTTTGGAACAGACTATACAAAGGAACTGAATCTCTTCGTTTTCTGTAGGAGCAGCCAGCACCTCCCCACACAGACGGATCAGTTTCTGAGAAAGAAATGTCACAGCCACAGAAATAAAGAACGTTACAAATACGTTACATAAGTTAGCAGACCATTTTGAGGAAAGGGGCTATTAAAAATACACTGGGTACTTTTCATTATGCTAAATTATGCTTCCTTGTGTCCTCTATCCTCCTCCATCCATTCTAAATGTTACACAGTGGACCTTTACGTGCACCTTGAGATGTCAAGGAACGAAACATGGGTGTATCCTACGTGGAAGTAGTTTATAAAGTGGCATGATGTATAACTGTCGCACCGCCACATGCTGACACTATGGAACCAAGGATTTCTCATTTCTCCGTCCTTACACCTCTTCCTCGCACCCATCTCTCACATCCTCGCTGGAAGGAGCTTAGACGCAAGGAAAAGACGTGTGGGAGTGAACTGAGGAGAGACGTAAGCATACTGAATAGCACCGAGTGAAATCCAGACTGCATCACTGCTCACCTGTACAGGTCTGTGGACATTGATGTGTGGCAGGAGAGGCTGACGAATGTGTGCTAGCAGCTTTGTGTAGAAGGTAAGTACCTGCTGCTTCATCCCCGGAGGACACTGGTGGAAAAATCATACAGACAGAATATATTAAGACTCTATCTGGGTGGTCCACCACACTGCACGGAAATGCAGCTCACACTGAAGACACCATAGCTTATTGAAAAGTCAGTGGCATGTCCCGCCCCCCCCATCCCCTCCATCGATCCTCAAACTGGATTTTTAATCCAATATCACGTATACATTTATAGATGTCATAGTGTGATATATTTGTTTTCCTGGTGGTACTTGTTCTGTTGTCTTACATCTGCCTTGCCCAAGGTGTAGAGTGTCTCCAGGATCTTATGGTGTAGAAGATACTCCATGCAAGGTCCTGTCTCTCCAGACTCCCTTTCCCCTTCCTCCTGGGTCAGGATGTCCAGCATCTGTTCCAGGTGCGATGGGATATTGGTGTCTGTAACTGGAGCTTTGTCATCTAACAAAGAAAAACACAGAAGTGATGTCAAAACCTCTTTATGTCCATGCTCATCTTGGCTGCACAGTGGAAGTGGGAGATTTGCCTAAAGTGGAAAAAGCTTCTGCACCCTTTATCAAACCTCTCCAACGTTTTTGCTTTCTGTTCACAAAGCACAGCTATGAAAACCTCATTGCGCTTAAGCGTAATATTCACTTTGATCATGCTGCAAATAGTTGTTGTTTATAAGGTGTAACACAGTCCTTGGAAAACTTTCGAAAACTATCAGATCCTTTACTGAAGAAAATACTCTAGTACTAGTATAGTTGCTGCTGAAAAAAGTCCCAGAGCAAACTCTGAAACTAATGTAAAGATGTCTTATTTTCTTATTTGTATATTTACTATTGCTTTAATAAAGCAAACGTATTTCCTATCCTTATTATTATTACTAAGTTTTTCTATTCAAAGCAGTTCGCAACAGTAACCTTAGTACACTATGTTTGTGTTTTACCAAATATGCACTAGTTAACAGGTACATCAGGCTGAATGCAGCAAAACACACAATCTGGTCAGTAACAATAATGTGTATAATTAAGGTTAATTTGTAAGATAAACCACAACAATAGCTTTCATCAAATAATTCCCTAAATCAGTAATCATGTGGACTGAGGAAGGTCAGGCTACGTAAAAGTAAGTACAGAATAATAGATCAAGTTCATTTAAGTAACAAGTCTGCAAAACCAGTGAAAACAAGCTCAGCTACATCATACTGAAAGCACAGATAATCCCCCATCAGATGCTCACAGTCAATTTCGTTAAACTGGCCTAACTGGGAGAACTGCTGCAGAGAAGCTATTGTTCAGTGAAGAATAAGAGAAGGAGACTCTCCTGGACCAAAATACACAAAGCACTGGACATCCGTAGTTTGAGTGGAATGAGTGAGAGAAATTTTACAGGACTGGGTTTAACCACCAAGTACATGTTAGACGTAACCCGATACAGAGCGAATGAGTTTGACTTGCACAGATCCCACAGGAAAAAATAGGAAAACACTCATAGTCAGACAGTTGTTCAAGTCTATTGCAAACTCAACCAGTACGGCATTCCCAGCATACTTCACAGGTAAGCCCTTCCATCTGGATTTTCTTCCTAACTATCCCCTTTTTCACCGCCTCTGTTCATTTTTTATACGATAGTGCTCCAGGAGCAGGTGATAAATCAGTTGAACAGAAAATCGGATTATGAATGAATTACTGTAGTATTCAAAGCTCAGCAGTGCCGTCATTCGCTTGCCCTTTTTTAACTTTTGGATCTGTGAAGCTGTAATCTGGATTTAACTTGAATGTTGACAATAATGTTTGAATTAATCAACAGTCAATATGAACGCTGAACACAATGAACAAGCCTAGTTTCCTGCCATTGTACTGAAAGTTTAGACGGGGGGTCATTGGCGCACAAGACATCAACAACAGACGTTTCTTACCCGAAGTCTCAATGTAATAATGCGTAATGGCCTTCCAGTGATAGACAAAGTCCTCCTGCAAGGGCAGCGATGGAGCAAGCTGAAAGGGAAAAACAGCAAATATAAGCACACTGTATGTTTATACTGGTGGACCAGGGCTACACCACTAACCATCACATCAACATCACTTTCAAACAAAGTTCAAACAGGTCTTCTCCTCTTCTCAATCATATCTTGATCTTAATGTGC